GTCGTCAATGCGTGAAAGATAAAAAAAAAGTTTACCAATTAGGAATCATAAGGGTAAGTTCAACAAGAGGCCCGATTGAAAGACCTTCCATAAATGCAAAATTCTAAAGAATCCGAGTAAATTCTAATTTAGTCACAATTTTAAATACAATTCAAATGATTTAAAAACATGACATACATATAATAAACCGTAACGTAAAGTTTTGTTTTGCGGAGTGTCTGGTGTAGACATAATACCTATTAAAGACCCAAGACCTATCAAGAAAGAAAGGAGACCACCCTAAAATTGTTAATATTTATAATAATTACAAAGTTATTAATTGTCGTTAACAAAATCATTTACTAAAAATAAGAGATCCATATAAACATACACCAAACAAGAACAAATGGTTGGTATGGACGAAAGCTCCAGCCGCAGTAACCAAACAAACACTACTAAGTGTTAGATAAACCTTAAGCAAGTGTTGCTGAACAGGCTTGCTTAGATCTTGCACATGCTTAAATGCATCAAAGGGTGAAAAATCTCTTAGACCAGAATATTGAGTTCGAAAGTACGACATTTTCACTTGACAAATCCAAATTCCAATTCAAAATTAAAAATTTTATACTTCTACGATTTTATTTATATACTTTATTTTATATGTTTGACTTAAATATAACTAGAAAACGCTAGAATTTTCATTCACGTGATTTTGAAATTAGGTAACTGCCACGCGGACAGTGCTCATACGACCAACATTACCACCTACACCACTATTACGTATTTACCACACCACTGTCCATCGTTTCCGTCGTCTAAATCGGATTATTCACATGACTTTCACTTATCTATAACTAGTATAACTACGAAACATCCAGCCAATGTTAAAATCGTTAACACAGATCCTAATATAACACTACCTCTACTAGCAGGGAAATGACCTTTTGTCATAAGTTGTTGGGAATTAAAATATCTAAAGAGACCAAATCCAAGAAAAATAATTCCAAGAACTATAAAAGCTATTCCTAGTCCTTTACCAACTTTATCATCTTTATGTGAATCGGACGTACCTCCTCCTGTTAATCTAAATAATTGTGTGATTGCTAGTAGCGTTTTGAGGGAAAAATTATAATTTTAATAATGATATTAAAATTGTATATATATATATATATATATATATATGTATAATATAGATATATTTACTTATTCATAAACTCACCTATTCCAATGCTTATGAACGAAAGAGACGTCCTAAGCCATGCGAGGAAGGTTCTTTCGTTGGCTTATAAAGGCCCAAAAATATAAAAAGTTAAAAACTTTGAAATATAGTTTTGTAATGAACAATATATTATATTCACCTAAATGGTCTCTCGCAACACTTGCTTTATTTTCCAATACTAATGATGGGTTGCATTCTTCTAATTTTTTCATTATCCATGGTTTAGATTTACCAGGTCCGTTTGTGAGCATGCTATCGTTATTCATCCTCAAGATGTTTTTTGATGAATTTGTGCAAGAGGGGACAATAAGGCATGGTTCATCATTATTATTATAGTTATTACTGATAGAGCTGGAGCTGCATAATGTGACGGACATTTTATTGTTTTTAATGATTACGTATTGCGGAGTAAAACGGAATTTCTAAACTTATTTTCGTTTATTAGCTAAGAAAAAAAAATATATATATCACAGCACGAGAAATTTTCTAAACCATATTATGGTTTATATAGTTTAGTTGTGATTCAGCCCTCATTCCCTTTTCTAATAATGATGACAGTTTCATCGTCCCACAAATGGACTTGATATGTATTGTTCGAAGTAATACATCACAATAACTTATTGGATGCACATTATCGTTATAGATATTTTTAGAGTTTAGAAGAGTTTCAAAAATTCCTTATTCATTAAATATTTTAAGATTACTATAGTATATATATAATTCTAATAACTCCAACTATCGCTACGTATGATAATATTATATCATTTTTCAAGCTCTAAAATTTCTTATTTTAATAATTAAAAAATTTGATACCATGTAGTACTTGTCCACTCCCTAATCTAAAATCTAAAAAACCAATCCTGACACCAATTCTAATTAGAAAACGCCAGATCACGTGAGCACACGACTTAAATGTTATCCTATTGCTATAAATATAGCAATCTTTTCATCATTCATCAAATAAGGTAATTCTGTATTACAATTAATTTCGCAGCAAAGCGATTCTAATCGTTTTCCCAAGTACAAAGAAGTAGCACAGCTTTTAAGTTTGAGCCATTTATATCATAAAGTGTATGATAATGTACGTACATACATACAAACTATCGACTCTGATTCGATATTTAATAAATAAACTGTTAGAAAACAAAGCGCCTCACTTAAACTCGAATCATCAATTCGTTACATAATTTAATCAATTAATTTTAATAAAAGTAATTTGATACGTATCGATATTGGACTTCCTAAAGAAAGTAAGAAACTAATAACTATTTTTTTTTTGCTTTTTTTCTCTTCGTTCAACTCATTTTAGAACTTAGGACTGTTCGATAAGAAAATCCTAACCGAGTGTTAAATTTACCATTATGGGGGTTGATCGTCCTATTTATATTTTTGGATATCTCGTGTGACTTGGATTTATTCTTTGATCTTTCACAACAATTAGTTACGCCAGTAAAAATTTGATTATCGTCCAAACATGCATTATCATCCTGCTTACGCAATGGCAGTACTATGTAATTTATATTCATAAAAAATGGTTTTCTGGTGAATTGTAATAGTTAATTTCTCTTCACATTTCGTGGTAGGTACTGTCGGTGGAGTTGCTGGTTACGCTTCCAAAAAATCGGTACCTTCCATAGTGTCAGGTGTAGGTATTGGCATGGGATATGCCGTTGGTGGGTAAGTAAAAAAAGACCTTTGTATCCAAATTTATTATTCAAATTGTTAAATTATTTTAAATAATAGATATTTACTTCAAAAGGAAAAAAATTATGGAAATGAGACGGCCTTCGGTAATCACCTTTTATTTTATTTTATTTTATTTTTATTTAATTTTCTTCTTTATTAATTTATAATCTCTGGTATTTCAAGTTGCATCCATCTTATTAGCTGGGATCATGATTCCTCGAATGGTTAAATATGGTAGACCTATTCCTATATCATTAAGCATATTATCTGTCGGTATTGGTACTTATTATGGTAAAAAGGTTTACGATAATATGGTCTACGTTAAAAGTAATGATAATGTCGATGATAAGAAAACATAAATATCCGAATTCAATGAACTTCTTAGTTTAAATTTTTACTGAGCACAAAATTTTTAACCAAGATGACGAATTAGGTCATTAATAAATAATAAGCCGCGATAATTCATGGCGTTTGCTCTTTAGTATTAATATTAACCTTTTTCGATTATGTTTTTTCATTGCACTACTCTAACAAAAATAACAAAAATTGCGATGATATCTCTGGAATCTCATCTATTTTTAATTGGAATATTACTCTGTGTTTATACGTAGATATGGTAAAAGATTTGTTCAATTAAAAATTGATAATATATCAAATTTCTTATACGTATTACGATTAAGTAGGTATATACAGTATATATATATATATATACTTATCTATATAACTTTTTATACTATTTTTGATTATTTGATTATAATATTGTTTTTAATATTGAATAATGTAAACCTTTTTTAATTTTTTAAAAAATTATATTTTAATTCTCTAAAGTCTAGCAATTTAATAAAAAAAGTATTAAAATTTTTATAGTATTATTTAAAATTTGTATACTGAGCCAAGTTTTTAAAGTAATAAACTAAAATAAAATATATAACAAATTTTTTACGAAAAAAACTATATTTATTTAATAGAATATTATCTTTTCTTGCTAGTAGTGATATTGCCAATCATATAATTAGCTTACTAGATCAACCAATTAACTATTGTAGCATAGTCTGATCTAAAAAAATAATAAATAAAGGGTTTGATCTGTAAAATTAATTTTTTTTTTACTTTTATTTGATTAAAAAATCAGTATGTTGTATACAGTGTTGTATATTGGATGTTTTTTGAACGCTTTGAACATTTTTTCAAATTAAAATTACTTAAAATTTTATTTAAATAATCTTTTTTAATTTTTTTAAAAATGAATCTAGTATCTAAAAAATATATAATTATATATTTATTAAATTAATTTATTAATTATTTAAATCTTGGACATAGGCTTGAAACTTGAACAATTTTGGACAATTTTGAGGACTGTTTAAAGCCAGGTGTGTTAACATGACTAATAGCCAATCAAAATATAAATTTTGATTAATTTGGACTAGCTCAGCAAGACAAAAACAAAGAAAAAAAGTAAAAATACTGAAAATACAAGAAACAAGTGTTTAAACCTGTTTTGAAGCATTAATAAAAAATACCAAGAAGATGATTTTATCTAGAAGAACTGCTTCAACTCTAACTCCCAACTAATCTTTACTCTAATTATAATTAAATAATCAAAAATATATAAACATATTAGACTTTAGCTATTTCTCAATTTTGGATATTGGACAAAAAACATAGTTTAAACATATTCAATATACAATACTAGTTGTATATATAAAGAAAAGAGTAAAGAAAAGATATAGTATTAAAAGCTACAAAGCAAAAAACTAAATACAATCTTATATTTTAAACTAATAATAATTATTTTTTTTTTTTTTTTGACTAAAATATTATTTTAACTAAATAGAATATTAGTATTATTTTTACTATACTAAAACATTTTTTTGACAAAAATATTACTTTGACTAAAATATTTTTTATTTTTTTTTTATAAAAATATTACTTTAACTAAAATATTTTTTTTATAAGAATATTATTTTGACTAGAATACAGTCAAACCTCTCTATAGTCACACCCACGGGATACAAAAAAGCATGATTATAGAGAAGTGTGCTAATTATAGAGGTCAAATTTATTATATTTAATAATAGATAGTTTTTTAAAAAACAAGCTTATAAAGAAAATATGCTTATATAGGAGATGACTATAGAGAGGTTTGATTGTATTACTTTAATCAAAATATTACTTTAATTAAATATTATTTTAACTAAAAAAATACTTTGAATAAAGTATTAAAAATAGAAAAAAAAGCATTAATAGAAGCTTTTATAAAAGTATAGTTTAAAATTTTAAATATAAAAAAAAACACATATTATATACAAATAAATTGTTTTTTTAGTAATACTTGACAAAATCAAACAAAAACTTGATTTTAAAGTTTTTAAAACTATTAATTTTAGTGATTAAACTCATTCAACTTGGGTAATCTATCAGACTAATCCAAGTAAACTAATAGGTATTTTTAGCCAATCACTAATATTTGTTTATATTAAGTAAAATAAAATTTATATATAGTATTCTATTTATCTAATATGAACAAATATTAGTGGTTAGCTAAAAATACTTATTAGTTTATTCGAATTAGTCTAACAAGTCACCTGGGTTGGACAGGTTTAATTACTAATCAATTTACAGTATTATATTTTAAATATAAAATTTATTTTTATACTAATTTAACTTTAATCTTTATAATAAGTTATTACAAAATCTAAAATAAGATCAGATATCTATTAGATTTATATTTTACTAAAATAAATTTTTTTTTTTTTTGATATTAAGATAACCTCTATAGCTAGGAACTTTTTATTAGATTATTAACTTTTAATTACAATTAAAATGAGAATATATCAAGCTATATATATATTTTTAGTATCTAATTTAAGTAAGATTCTATACTATTTGCTATATTTATACTCTAGTATTGTCACTTGGCCACTTGACTAGCTATTGGCCATAGTCAATGGCTATAGCTAATGGCCAAAAAGGGCAAAAAAATTATTTGACTAAAATAGCCAAATATTTTGTATAGCAAAGCTAAGAATATAATTGGTTAATTTTGTAAAAGTTAGAAACTTTAGACAAAGTTTAGCCATTAGCCAGTTGGCTATTGGCCAATTGGCTAGCCAAAGGCCAAAAAAATTGTTTGGCTGCTAAAAATTGCCAACACTGCTATACTCTAACTACAAGAAATATCTATTTAAACTCTCTAATTATAACTACTATCTATTTCTAATCTAACCAAAATATATCTTACTATATATTTATAGATTTTGTAATACTTGTAGATTTCGCATCTACTTTAAAACTATAATTATTTCTGGTTAATCTTTATCTATAAGGTAAATCTAATAAAATAGTCTATATTCTATACATGTTTTTATCTATATGTTTAGTAATTTCTTTCTAACTAGTACCTGTTATACTACCACTACTAGGTTTATATTTTAAGCTATCTTTTAGAATACTGCTATAACCTAATTCATATTTTAAGCCACAACCTTCTTAGTTAGTTCTCCATTATATACTCCTTGCCCTTGTAAGATTCACACAACTCCATTATTTATATTTAAACTTTTTTTCTTTCTTAAATTCTTTACTAGTCTCTTCTTTATTTTTAGCTAGCAACCTAGAAAAGTTGGTCTGTTTAGACTCTAAGTATCTTATAGTTTTCCTCTTTTTAGTATATACTTTCAAAGCATATATTATTTTCCTCTAGTTGACAACCTGGCAGTTTAGCTAATATGTCCTTCTACTTAAAAATCTAGTTGTTTAGTTTTCTAGTCTTAGTATTTAGTTTTAAATTTAGTCTTTTTGTAATATTATCAAAAATTATACTACCTCCCAACTCAAAACTTGCTAAACAGGTTTTTAGTTATTTTGATTTTTTAGATTTATTATGCTAAAGCTTCTATTCTAGATAGTGTGATCAAAATTACAGATTTCTAGATTTAACTAATTATCAATAGCTATTAACTATATTATAAAGTTATTTTTAAAAATATTATCTATGAAATTTAAACTCTAAACCTGCTATCTAGGGGTATAACAACTCTACCACTTCACTAAGTTGCTATATCTTAAAATAAAATTTGTATTTAATATTTAATACAATAAATTAATAAATTCAAAAAATTAAAAATTAAGTTTTTGTTTAATTTTTTATATACTACTTTTTGAAGTTTTTTTTTTTTAAAAAAATATAAATTATCTTTTAATTTTTTTTTAAACATAGCTTAATAAAAGTTTTAAACTAATAAAATATTAAATAGATATAATTTTTTTTTTTTGAATATTAAGATAACTTCTTAAGTTAATGAGTTTTTATTAAGTAAGTATAAGTATTATACATTATGACAAAAGTATATATATCAAGCTATATATACACTTTTGGTACCTAATTTAAATAGTTTGCCCAAAGGTTTTACATTATTTGCTATACTTGCAACCCAACTACAAGATTATCTATTTAAACTCTCTGATTACAATATACTACATATTATACTTAATATAGGTATAATTTACTATACTATATGTAGATTTTGTAATACAACTATATTTTCTAGCTACTTTAAAACTAATTTATCCTTAAATTAAACCTAATAAAGCAGTATATATCTTATACATATATTTACTTACATGTTTGGTAACCTTTTTCTAACTTGTACTTGTTGTACTATCACTACTAGGTTTATATCTCAAGCTACCTTTTAAAATGCTACTATAACCCAATTTATATCTCAAGCTACAATCTTTCTAATTAATTTTTAGTTATTTATTTTTTGCTTTTATAGAGTTTACACAACTCCAATACTTATATTTGGACTTTTTTTTTTTCTCAGATTCTTTAGCAGTTTTTTTTTTATTTTTAGCTAGCAATTCAGAAAAGTTGGTCTGCTCAGGTTTTAGATGTTTTATAGTTGCCCACCTCTTGGTACATGTTTCTGAAATATATATATATATTCTTTTTTTCTAGTTGGTGATTCGGTTGTTCAGCTAGTTTGTTATCCTACTTAAGAATCTGGTTACTTGGTTTTCCGATTTTGGTTCCTAGTTTCAAATTCAGTTTTTTTGTAGCACTATTAAAGATTATATTACTTTCTAACTTGGGACTTGCCAAATAAATTTTTAATTATTTTAGTTTTTTAGATTTATTATATTGAAGCTCTTATTTAAGATAATATTACCAAAATTATAGATTAGAATCTAACTAATTAGTAATAGCTATTAACCATATTATAAAGCTATTTTTTGAAAATATTATCTATCTCTTAATATGTAGACCAATGCAGGCAAATTTGTCTGTGTTTTTGCACTTTTTTAGCTCTGATTTACTTTTTTAAAATACTAAAATATTTTAATAAAACTTTGTATA